AATGACATTTAGGGATAGATGTGGATATGTTCAACTCTGAAATTATTTCTTTAAGACTTTAATTGTGTAAGAGTTCACATTCTGTTACATTGAAAATCATTATAGAAAATAACTTGGTTTAATGTAAAAGATGATTAGTACATTACTTGGTAAATTATTCAACAAAAGTCACCCCTGAGATCTGTTTAATACTTTTCTTTAGTACCGGCTGTATTTTTGTTGAAACTTTACTAAAACTAGGAATGGAGGAGTAGAGGAGATGGATTCAAGAGATGTTTAGGAGATGTGATAACAGAATTTGCAGACTGATTGCATATTGTAACTTGAATAAGTCTTCAACTAGCTCATGTCCACATGATTGCATTTAAAAAAGGAGAAGAGAGTTCTAATATATTGAAAGGAGCAGTGAAACCTTGACATCAGAATACTGTTCTTGGGTTCTAACTGTGACTCTAGCCCCAGTCAGCAGGATGGCCTTGGTAAAGTCGCTTAACTTTACTAAGCTAAGACTTTATGCTTTTAAATAGATATAATTAAGTAATGAATATGAAAGTTCCCCCAAACTACAAAGCTTTACAAATATAACTGCCATCATCGTTACAGAATTCACACCTTATTACCCCTGAACAAAATCCCCAGGAGGTTAATTATCATTACTTATTCTGTAACTTCTAGTCATGTTTTTTGTACCTGAATCTCATTGGCATGTGAACTGTTAAGCAGTGGGCAGCCTAAATCTGTATGCCCATAACTTTCTATAACCTAATAGAGATTGAAATGCTGAAAAATTTTAAGTAGTGGGATAATACCCAATACTAACAGACAATTATTTTGTCCAAGGGCAAGAAAGAAGAGAGGGTGGGAATGCTGTGAGATTTTGGCTGACCAATTCAATTTCTCTATATGTGTTAGTGATTGGGGGAGGGAATGGGTGCAGCTAATTAAGATGTCTGTTCTCTCTTCTTAAGACCTCTCCTTACCCTATTTACCACAATAAATGAGCAAAATGTGAACATTGAGTCACAAAATATTTGAGTCTTCTGCTGTAGAACAATCCTTTTTTTTTCTTCTTCCTGTTTGTGACTGTACCTCTGTAGTTCTCTCCCCCTTTCTGTTCTTTTTCTCACCCTAAGTATGTCATTTCTAAAAGTATCCCTTGTAAGGCTGCCTTCCCCACATTCTTTGTCATTCTTTTCCTTTTCCTTTTTATTTTTCTATTTCCTCTAGTAAGATGACATTTAGTCCAGTAAATTAGTAATCATACTTTCCTGTTTTAACATGCACTCCTTACTTTTAATGCCAAGTATGAAAGTTCACATTCAAATCTAATATAAAAAGTGAAAGACATCATAAATTATTAAATTGCATTTTCATGTATGGGGTGTCCAGGATGCAGTGAAAATGACCACCCATATTAGTGAAGACAGTATAATAGTACAACCTTTTTAAGCTTTTCGGGCAGTATGTGTTAATGGTCTTTTATGTTCATGTTTATACCCTTTGACCTAGTAATTTCATACTTTAAAATCTATTTGAAAGAAATAATCTTTTTTTTCCCCTCACCTGAGGACATTTTTCCATTTTTGTTCAGATAAAGTGGGAGGGAGAGAGAGAAATAGAGTGAAAGGGACACATCCAGTGGCTGCCTCCCACAGGACCCCCACCAGGGGGGTATGTGCCCTTGACCAGAATCAAACCCGCAACTCATTGGCTGCAGGCTGATGCTCTAACCGCTGAGCAAAACTGGCCAGGGATGAAAGAAATAGTCTTAAAAAATGAAAAGACTATGTGTGACATCCTTAATGTCTAGCAGTAAAGAGGCATGATTATATGGACTATTATATAGCTATTTAAAATTATATATAGCATGGAGAAAGTACATAACTTTAAAAACAATAAAAATTTGTACCTACAATAGAATTTGACAGATATAGATTTAACATTCAAGGTTGGTGAAAATATAAATTCACATAAATTATTTTAGAGCTATATGGAAAAATATCCATTTTATTTGTTTGTTAAATCTTCACCTGAGTATATTTTTTCATTTATCTTCAGATGGAATGGGAGGGAGGGAGGGTAAAAGAGAGAGAAGGAGAGAGAGAGAAACATCAATGTGAGAGAAACACATCGACCGATTGCCTCACGCATGACCCCGACCAGGGCTGGAGACTGAACCACAACTAAGGTACACACCCTTGACCGGAATCAAACCTGTGACTCTTTGGTCCGCAGGCTGATGCTCTAACTGCTGAGCCAAACCAGCCAGGGCGACAAAGTATCCATTTTAAATCCACATGCCTTTTGACCTAACAATTATTCTTGTACTGATAAATTAATATGTACTAACATATTCGCACTGATAATCATTGCAGCACTAATTATAGTTAAGTCTGTCTCTAATGTTTGAAGTGGTAAATAGTTTTTCTTCTAGGAATTTATCTGAAGGAAATAAAGCTGTGAATAGATAGAAATTTAAGATATATTTATCCCTCTATTTATAATTACAACATATATTAAAACCCTAAATGTCTAACAATAACAGGTTATTAAATAAATTGTATATTTCATCAGTGGAAAATTAGACAGCATTGCAAATCGTGTTGTAGACTGATGGCATCATCCTCTTCTACAACACATATACACTCATGCATTAAATAAATCATATATTCCATCAATGGAAAATTAGGCAGCATTGGAACATGTTGTAGAAGATTGTGATGGCATTTTCCTCTTCTACAATACATACATACTCTAATGCACACATGCATGTACATACATGCCAGAAAAAAAATACACTAACAGTTAACTTTTTTCCTCTGAGATGTAAGATACAGATGATTTATTTTTTTTAATTAATTAATTTTGTAATCTTTAACTGAGGATATGTTTTTATTGATTTGAGAGAGAGAGAAAGAGAAACAAACATCTATCAGTCGCCTCCCATATGCACCCTGACCAGGGATCAAACTGGCAACCTAGGTATGTGCCCTGACCAGGAATCGAGTCTGCAACCTTTTGGTGCACAAGACAATGCTCCCCCGGCCAGGGATAGATAGATATTTATTTATTTATTTATTTATTTATTTATTTATTTATTTATTTATTTATTTATTTTTATTGACCTATGACTATATTTATCAAATATATAACAACCATGAGTATTTTTTCTTGCTTTTTTTTTCTTTTTTAATCCTCACCCGAGGATATTTTTCCATTTATCTTCAGATAGAGTGGGAGGGAAGGAGGGAGGGAGGGAGAGAAAGAAAGAAACATCGACTGGTTGCCTCCCACATGACCCCTGACCAGGGCTGGGGACAAACTGAAACCGAGGTATGTGCCCTTGACCAGAATTGAACATGCAACTCATTGGTCCATGGGCCGAAGCAGTTAACCTGTGGGTCAGAGCCCCTTGAGGGTTGAACGATGGTCACCTAAGACCATTGGAAAACATGTATTTCCGATGGTGTTAGGAACCGAGATACCGCTCCTCTATCAGTCTCCAGGCGGATCCGCCCACATACATGAGGAACTGTCCCAGCATTAGGAAGGTTGAGAACCACTGCCCTAACCCCTCAACCAAACCGGCCAGGGCATTTTTCCTTTGTGTAAGTTAAATTTATTGAAGTAACATTTGTTACTGGCATTGAGGTTCTTGAGTTCCCCAAGATAGAAATGGAGAAGAAGCCCGAGAAATTTCCAGACAGATTTTATTAAGCTTATGCTGGAGCACAAGAGAGCCAGCATAGAGGAAAGAAAGGTGCTCTGAACTGGCTGAGGAGCTGGCTCTGCTTGGTTGATTTTTTGTTGTTTGTTTATTTGTTTTTAATATTTTTAAAAAATTATCTTTATTGTTGATAGTATTATAGATATCCCCCCACCCCCACTCCTCTACCCTGCTTATACATATATAAGTTCTTTGGTTAATCTCTTCCCATTCTCCTCCCCCTTCCTTCTGAGATGTGGTAGGTGGGGGAGAGAAGCAGTGATATGAGGGACAAATGATCCCATCTGGTGCCTCCTGCATGCCCCTTGAACCTTTTAGTGCATGGGATGACACTCAGCCAACAGTGTCACCCAGCCAGAACTGCTTGGTGGTTTTTATTTTATTTTATTATTATTTTTTTTTTGTTAATTTCCACCTGAGGATATTTTTCCATTCATTTTTAGAAAGAGTGTGTGGGGAGGGGAAAGATAGAGACAGAGACAGACTGATGTGTGAAAGACACACAGATTGCTCCTGCACAACCCCAACCAGGGTTGGGAGTCAAACCTTTGGATGCTCTAACCAAACTGGCCAGGGCTGGGGATAGCAGACTTGTGTGAAAAGGCAGGCTTTTTTTTTTTTTTTTTTTTTTAAAGGGCAGGCTTGGGGATTTTCTATGTCAGGGTATGAGAAGCAAGAGGTTAAAAGGGGGAGATAGACCTTTTTCATAGGGAGTGGAGGAGTGGTTGCATTCTTATAGTGGGCCTATCTATATTTTTTTCTGGTCTTCAGGCAGTCTTAGGATCCCAGCGAGGGGCCACGGGGTAATGCCAGCTATGTTGATTTTTTTTGTTTTGGTCTGGTGTCCTTTGGCCCAGGTCCCTATGCTGTCTCATATTGCTTAATAACAATATGTAAATTTCAGGTGTGCAACATTATCATTCATCATCTGTATACTCTATTGTATGCTTACCACCCAAAGTCTAGTTTCATCATGAGTATTTTTTTAAGTAAGAAAAATATTAACTCAGTATAAAGAAAAGACTTGGAGGAAGTACAATATTTTAAACAGTAGCTGTTTTTAAGTGGTGGGACTAACGTGATATTTTGTATATTTTTTTTAGTGGAAAAATAAAGTATACTCATTTTATAAATTTTGTTTTTTTAGCTTTGTTAAAAGCATGATTGATAAGCAACAAATTAACATAATTTCAAGTAACTTTTATATAGTTAACAAATTTTTAAAACATTTTATGTTCATTTTCATTTTAGGCCAGAAATATACATACGGGAGAGTTGGCTGCAGTAAAAATTATCAAATTGGAGCCTGGTATGTATTAAAACCCTCAAGGCAATTTTTGAACACTTTTGTTGTGCAGTTCATAAGTATAGAACTTAAAAGCATTTTTCATATTTTCTTTTTTGTTTCCCTTCTTCCGAAAGAAATGTTTATATGTTGTCAGGGCAATAAGATGTCTCAAATATGTTTAGATTAAATTGCATTGGAGGTTATTAGTTAAAGACAAATTTGATGTAATGGTTTTGTTGCCAAATAAAATTTCAGATGTTCACATTCAAAAATTGGAAGACACATTGACAATATTAGAGTAATTTTTTTTAAGTTATAGTGAAATCATTGTCCTTTAATATTAACTCCTATGAGAATTTGATTAGGAAAGTATTGACTGATTGATTTTGAGGGAATATTTGGTAGTATTCAGCATAATGATATTTTGTATATCAGCTGTTGTTTGGTTGGTTGGTTTACGTTTAATCTGGTCTTAGCCTAATGCTTTTTTTTTAACACTTTTTTCTGTCAGAAAGTTGTTTGTTTTAAAGCATACTGAGTAATTGTCTTTGAAAACAAAAATATAAAACTTGAAACAATTTTAATATTTTGATATCCTCAAAGTTTTCTTAGTAATGGAATTTTTTTAATTTTTTTTTTTTTTATCCTCACCCAAAGACATTTTTTGCATTTATCTTCATATAGAGAGGGAGGAAGAGAGAGAGAGAAATAGTGATGTGAGGGAGACACATTGCCTGGTTGCCACCCACATGACCCCAATAGGGGTCAGGGACAAACTGCAACCAAGGTACGTGCCCTTAGCAGGAACCAAACCCGGGACTCTGGTCCGCAGACCAACAACGCTGTAACTGCTGAACCAAACCAGCCAGGGCAGTAATGGAATTTTTTAAAAAGTATTCAGTTGGACCCTGGCCAGTTTGCTTAGTGGTTAGAGCATTGGCCTGTGGTCCAGAGAGACCCAGGTTCGGTTCCCACTAAGGGCACGTGCCTTGGATGCAGTTTGCCCCCGGTCCTGGTTGGGTCGTGCAGGAGGCAGCCACTCGATGTGTCCCTTTCCTATTGATGTTTCTCTTTCTCTCTTCCTCCCTCTCCTTCCCACTCTGTCTGAACAAATAATGGAAAAATGTCCTCGGGTGAGGACAAAACAAAACAAAACAAAAAAGTATTCAATTGGTATTGTGCCCTGGTTTACTGCAAAAAAATAGAAAAAAAAAATCAGAAATGTGTAAAGAAGAAAATTAAAATAATCTATCATTTTGTTACTCAGAACTATTATTACCTTTAGTATATTTCCTCTCATTTTCCTCCTATGTATACATGTAAACATTTTACAGAATTAGCACATACTACTAGTACTTTATGCTGTTCCTCACCAGCATTACATTAAGGACATTTTCTAGGTCAGTAAATATTCTTTTTTATAAATGAGGTATAAATGGCATACAACATTATATTAGTTTCAGATGTATAGCATAATGATTCAATATTTGTATATATTTTGAAAGGATCATAATAAGTCTAGTTAATATCTGTTACCATACATAGTTACAGATTTTTTTTTCTCGTGATGAAAACTTTTAAGATCTACTCTCAGCAATTTTCAAATATGTAATACAGTATTATTAACTGTAGTCACCATACTGTACATTAAATCCCATGACTTATTTTATCTTTGGAAGCTCCTACCTTCCTACCTTTTGTATCCCTTCACTCCTTTTACCCAACTCCCAACCCTTTACCTCTTATCTGTCCTCTGTATCTGTGAGCTTGGGTTTTGTTTGTTTTGTTTTTTAATCCTCACCCAAGGACACTTCTGCATTTATCTTCAGATAAAGCGGAAGGGAGAGAGAGGGGAAGAGAGAGAGAGAAACATCAATGTGAAAGAGACACATCGAGTGGCTGTCACCCACACAACCCCAACGGGGGCCGGGGACAAACCGCAACCGAGGTACGTGCCCTTAGTGGGAACCGAACCTGGGACTCTGGTCTGCGGGCTGAGCCAAACCAGCCAGGGTAGTTTTTTGGTTTTTTTTTAGATTCCACAGGTAAGGGAGATCTGTTATAGTGCCCTCAAGGTCTATCAGTAGTGTCAACAATTAAAAGTTTCTAATGAGCACTGTAGCTTTTTTTTTCTCCAAGTTTTTTTTTTACTCTGGTGAAATATACATTACATAAAACTTACCATCTAAATCATTTTTAAGTATGCAGTTTAGTGGTTATAAATTACATTGATAATGGGCTACCATCACCACCATCCAACTCTAGAACTCTTTTCATCTTGTAAAACTGAAACTCTATACCCAGGAAAACAGTAACTTCCCATTCCCTTCTTTCCCCTAGCTTCTGTCAACTACCATTCTATTTTCTGTCTCTGATTTTGACTATCTTAGGAACTTCATATACAATATTGGTTTTTCTGTTACTGGTTTATTTCACTTCACATAATGTCCTCAAGCTTCATCCATGCTGTCACATCAGTTTTCTTTCTTTTTTTAAATCCTCACCCAAGGAGAGAGAGAGATTTTTTTTTTTTTTTTTTTTTTTACATTAATCTTCAGATAGAGCTGAGAGAGAAAGGGAGAAGAGAGAGAGAGAAACATCGATGTGAAAGAGACACATTGATTGCTTGTCACCCACACAACCCCAGCTGGGGCCAGGGACGAACTGCAACCCAGGTATGTGCCCTTGGCCAGAATCAAACCCGGGACTCCTTGGTTCCCAGGTGATGCTCTTACCACTGAGCCATACTGGCCAGAGCAGTTTCCTTTTTTTTTTAAGACTGAATAATGTTCCACTGTGTCTATATATGCCACATTTTACTTATTCATTCCATTTGTTGGACCACTTGGATTGCTTCCACACTTTAGCTATTATGAATAATGCTGCTGTGAACATAAGCTACAGATATTTCTTTGAGACCCTGCTTTCAGTCTTTTGAGTATATACTGCCAAATAGAATTGCTAGATCATATAGTAATTCTATTTTTAATTTTTTTTGAGGGACCACCATACTATTTTCCATAGTGGCTGTACAATTTCGCATTCCTTCCAACAGTGCAAAAGGGTTCCAATTTTTCCACATCCTTGCTGACACTTATTTTTCTATTTTGGTCTGTGTTATAGCAGTCATCCTAATGGGTATAAGTAGCTGGTATCTCATTGTACATTTTATTTACATTTCCTAATAATTAGTAATGTTGATATCTTTTCATGTGTTTGACCATTTGTATATCTGCTTTGGAGAAAAGTATATTCAAGTCCTTTGTCCACTCTTTAATCCAGTTGTTTGTTTTTTGGTGGTGTTGAGTTTTAGGAGTTCTGTATATGTTCTAGATATTAATCTCTTATCAGATACATGATTTGTAAATATTTTCTCCCATTGCAGTTGCCTTTTTACTGTATTGATAATGTCTTTGTTTTTTAGATATGTTTAAAAAAAAATTTTTTTAGAGAGGAAGTGAGAGATAGAAACATCAATGTGAAAGAGATACATCGATGGGCTGCTTCCTGCAAGCCCCCCACTGGAGATCGAGCCCGAAACCCTGGCATGTGCCCTGACCAGGAATTGAACTAGGACCTCTCAGTCTATGGGACAATGCTCAATCCACTGAGCCACACTGGCCAGGCTTATAGTGTCTTTTTTTTTTTTTAATCCTCACCTGAGGACATTTTTTCATTTATCTTCAGATAGAGAGGGAGGGAAGGAGCGAGAGAGAAACATTGATGTGAGAGAGACACATCGAGTAGTTGCCTCCCGCACAACCCTGACCAGGGCTGGGGACAAACCACAGCTGAAGTACATGCCCTTGACTGGAATTGAACCCACAACTGTTTGGTCTGAGGGCTGACGCTGCAACCACTGAGCCAAACCAGCCAGGGCTTAATAGTGTCTTCTGATGCACGCAATTTTTAACTTTTCATGAGGTCCAGTTTTTATTTATTCTTCTGTTGTTGTGCCTTTGGTGTCATGCCCAAGAAATTATTGTTAAATTTAATGTCATGAAGCTTTTGCCCTATATTTTCTTCTAAGAGTTTTATAGTTTTAAGGTCTTATATTTAAGTCTTTGATCCAGTTTGATTTAATTTTTGTATGAATAGTTTTGCTTATGGATATCCAGTTTTCGACCATTTGTTGAAAAGACTGTTCTTTCTCACTTTGAATGGTCTTAGCATCCTTATAAAAAATTATTTAACCTTACCTGGCCAGTGTGGCTCAGTAGTTGAGCATTGACCTATGCACTAGGAGGTTGCTGGTTCAATTCCCAGTCAGGGCATATGACCAGGTTGTAGGCCCCATCCCAGTGAGGGGCATGCCGGAGGCAGCCAGTCGATGTTCTCTCTCATCGATGTTTCTGTCTCTCTCTCCCTCTCCCTTCCTTTCTCTCTAAAATCAATAAAGAAAAAAAATTTTTTTTAATTATTTAACCATTATTTCTGGGCTCTCTATCCCATTGGTCTATATGTTTGTCTTTATGCCACTATCAAACTATTTTGATACTGTAGCTTTGTAGTAAGTTTTGAATTCAGAAAGTGCAAGTCATCCACTTTTGTTCTTCTTTTACAAGATTATTTTGGCTATTTGGGGGGTCCTATGAGATTCCATATGAGTTTTAGGATGGGTTTTTCTAGTTCTGCAAAAAATGTCATTGAGATGAGGAGTAGTAATTTTTGACCTGGTAGATAAATAGTTGATGATCTGTTTTTTTGCTGCTTCATAAACTTAGACATGTCGAGTAATTGTGTGACCAATAATTATGCCAGTTTTTTAATTTCAGCAGTTAAAATGGTTTCGCATTTCAAGTACAGTATTTTGATCATTATATGTATGATTAGAGAGATTTTACTGAGGTAACATATACTGCAACACTTGAAGCTTTCAGATATGGCATAGTATCCTTTTTTCCTGGATAATAGAAATTATTGTAATAAGACTTTTTGAGCCCTCTTATTTTCACCTAATAATTTTATAATTCCTACCAACAGTACTCAGTGTTTCAGTTTCTCCACATCCTTACCAACAAGTTTTGTTTTGTTACAGCATTCATACTAATGTCTGGGAGGGTGGTATCTCATTGTAGTTTTGCTTGTTTACATCAGACGAGTAATGTGCCTATGTCATAACAAAGTTTGAGGGAGGCAAATCTCACACAAGAACATGAACACCTAATCATCACGCTTATGAACTACACAAGGATCTCTCATTGTAGTTTTTGTTTGTATTTCCCCCATAGAATGATCTCCAAAATGTCAATAACACAAAAGAAGATAATATAACACAACCATACAAGCATTTGCCTCTCCTGGAGGAGTCACTTGAATATTTAGTCAAGTTGTATTCAAGGGTCAGTTTCAGTCCAGGAAATGAATGGACTGGGTGCACAGGGGAAACAAAAATGTTTATCCCTTTTCTGCCTTCAGTGAGTACAATGTTCTTGTGAGAGCATAGTTTCATTTATTTGACTTGAGGGCATGTATGGCTTACTTCTGATTATAGTTCATATAATGAATTAATGAGTATGTTTTTTAAATTCTAACTTCTCAGTAAGCCACAAAAAAGAAAACTATATCAGTATATGATGTTTAACACATAAGGATTAAATTGCTGGAACCATTAATCAAGATTCTTTGAAAGGTTAGACTTTCTCACTGCCTTGCTTGTAAAAGCTGCTGTCTTTATGTTAGAGTTCATTCCTACAGAAAGATTAATTAATCTTTACAATCTTTCCCCAAAAAAGAATAACAAGCTTAGTAAATGCTTGATGTGATTTTAGTGTTTGACCATTTATATATTCTGTTAATTGCCTATATATGTGCTTGGTATAGGTTGTCTTTTTTTTTTCTTGGAGAGAGAGATAGAAATATCGTTGTGAAAGAGAAATATTGATCGGCTGCCTCCTGCACATTTTCTATTGGGGGTCGAGCCCGAAATCCAGGCATGTGCCCTGACCCGGAATCTGACCTCTCAGTCCATGGGACCACGCTCAATCCACTGAGCCACACCGGTTGGGCACATAGATTGTCTTTTATATTATTGAATTTTAGATGCCATATGCACTTTGAGAATAGTGACTTTGCATATGTTTTAAAAGTTTTCTGGTTTGTCTTTTATCTTTGTACTCTGCTTATGATACTTTTCTGTGTGGAAGTATTATTTTTCTTCTTAGATAAATTTGTTGGTCTTCCTTTCTCTATTTACCTCTTTCTCATACTTAAACCTTTTCTGCTAGGAAATTCTAAAACTGTTTAAACTGTAATTACTTCTAGTTTCTTCCCTTTCTTTTCTTCCAACATTTAAGTATTTGTTCTATCAGGAACAATTTTGTTCAAGGGGTGAAGGAGAGTTCTAGGTCTGATCTTTTCAAATGGCTAGAGAGTTTTCCAAAACGGTTTACTACAAACTGTTTTTTTATTCATAGGTTCAAAATGCTTCAGTTGTCATAACTGAATTTCCATGTAAGCATGGGTTTTATTCTGTTTCAGTGACCCCCCCCCAATTTGTAGTTCAGTACTATCCTGTTTTTGATTATTCTAACTTTTCATTGCATTTTATAATCTTCATTGCTTTTCTTTTTCAGTTATTTTCTTTCTGTTTTCATAGTTTTTTCTAGGAGAACTTTAAAATCATTTTTATCAAAGAAAAATAGTGTTTGTGAGACCTGGCACTTTTTATAATAGTTAGGATTGTTTCTTATTCAAGTCTACAGGAAACTGTACCTTTTGCCACATAAATTTTCATATTTTTTAAACTTTTTTTTCTTACAGATTTTTATAGAGAGAGGAAGGGAGAGGGAGAAAGACATAGAAACATAGATGAGAGAGAATATCAATTGGCTATCTCCTGCATGCCCCCTACTGGGGATTTAGCCCACAATCTGGGCATGTGCCCTGACCAGGAATCGAACTGGCAACCTCTTGGTGCATGGGTCAATGCTGAACCACTGAGCCACACCGGCCGGGCTAAATTTTCATATTTATGGTATTTCTTGATATTATGAATGGCATTTTTTTCCCACTGATACTTTCTAGTTGGTTACTGTTGGTATTTATGTAAATCATTGATTTTATTGGATTTATTTTCTCTCCAGCAGTTTTACAGAATTCATATTCTTTTCTAATGATTTTTCATAGTTTTTCTGATAGAATTGTGATTTTTAGTGTTCTTTGGTGCCCTTTTTTGCCTTGAATATAACTTTGTCAAACATTAATATTGCCAACCCCCTCCCCCCTTTTTAAAAAAAATATTTATGTAATATAGCAAATGGATAGAGTTGCTGTACTTGGGTCTATCATTTTACTTTAATCTTTTCTGGGTCATTGGTTTTTAGGTGTTTTTCTTATAAGAAATCGTATTTGAGTTTTACTTTATAACCCAGTCTGTCAAGGATATTTTTTCCATTGATTTTTAGATAGAGTGGAAGGGAGGGAGGGTGAGAGAGAGAGAAACATCACTGTGAGAGAGAGACACACTGATTGGTTGTCTTTCACAGGAGTTGGGGCCTGGGATCAAACCTGCAACCCAGGTACGTGCGCTTGACTGTGAATCAAATTCACGACCCTCCGGTTTGTGGGCTGATGCTCTAACCACTGCGCAAAACTGGCCAGGGCCAGTCTTTCTTTCTTTAATAGTTGAGTCTATCACTGTATTGTTTAGTGACATGTTTGATCTTTTGTTGGTATGGTTTTTTGTTTTTTAAAGCTTTAAAAAATTATGGATAGAGGTTTATTTTTCCTGCTGATAATTTAAAAGAACACAGTCAATACTTTTATCAGAGGGTGGCTTATAAGACTTTGAATAATATACTTAAAATTTTAAATTTATTTATCAGCTTAAATGAAACAGGCATTGACTTTCTGGGTTTAAAAATGTTGAACTTGCCCTTGCCAGTTTTGCTCAGTGGTTAGAGCATGGGCCTGTGGTTCAGAGACACCCGGGTTCGATTCCCTCTAAGGGAACGTACCTCGGTTGTAGTTTGTCCCCGGCCCTGGTTAGTCGTGCGGGTGGCAGCCACTTGATATGTCCCTTTCGCGTCGATGTTTCTTTCTTTCTCTCTCTCTCTCTCTCTCTCTCTCTCCACACACACACACACTCTATCTGAACAAAAAATAGAAAAATGTCCTCAGGTGAGGATTAAAAAAAAAAAAGTTGAACTTTGCATATTTATATTCCTGCCACTTTATCTCTCAGTATTCAGGCATTTGCTAGTTTATCAGAACTTTTTGATAATTCTGGGGCTTGAGTGTATGTGTGTATTAGTCTGCATATCTTTTCTATATATATTTTTTTTATTGTTTTGAGAGAGGGGAAGTGAGAGGGGGAGAGAGAGAGGGAGAAACATCTATTTAAAGAGAAACATTGATTGGTTGCCTCCCATCTGGTGACCTGAGCATGTGCCCTGGCTGGGAATTGAACTGGCAACCTGTTGGTGTCCAGGACAGCACTCAACTAACAGAGTCACATGGACCAGGGCAGTCTTCATATCTTTTAAGAATTACAATATACAAGTTATTTAGACTTAGTTTTATATTTAAATAAATTCAGTGCCCGCTATTGATCTTTTCATTCCATGTCCTTGCCATTCTGACTGTCTTATTTTATATTAGCTATTGTTAGGATGGATCATAAAGTGTTAGTTAGTACTAATGTAATTTGAATTGTTTGTTCACAAATTGATTGTTCTTTCCAAACCTGCTCTTTCCGTGGTCAGTCTTCCTCATTTTGCCAAGCAGTTAGCCAAGCCAAAAATGTAGGCATTGCCTTGATTTCTCTCTTTTATTTGCTCTCCAGAATCAATCTGTCAGCAAATTCCTTCAACTCCACCTCCAAAACATATCCTGAATCCAACTACTTTTTATTGCCACCTTCACCCGCCTGGTCTTCCTGTTTCCTCTCCCACACTCCCATCATCTGGTTTCCACAAAACTACCAGTGATCTTTTTAAAACACAAATTTTAGTGCTCTCCTGCTTAAAATATCTGTGGAGTTTCTAAATCCACTTAGAATAATATTAAGACTTTCAACCTTGCTTATAAAATAAAACCCTATATAAGCTGCCCGGTCTACTACTCTGAGCTCATCATGTATCTTTCCCCCTTCCCTACTTTGTCTCTGTTTTCTGTTTTTTGCTATTCCTCACTGGAGGATATTTTTCCACTGAGTTTTAGATAGAGTGGAAGGGAGTAAGAGGGGGCAAAACACCAGTGTGAGCCCTGGCCGGTTTGGCTCAGCGGTTAGAGCGTCCGCCTGCGGTCCAGAGAGACCCGGGTTCGGTTCCCGCTAAGGGCATGTACCTCGGTTGCAGTTTGTCCCCGGCCCTGGATGGTCGTGCGGGTGGCAGCCACTCGATGTGTCCCTTTCGCATCGATGTTTCTCTCTCTCTCTCTCTTCCTCTCTCTCTCCCTCCCACTCTATCTGTACAAAAAATGGAAAAAGTCCTCGGGTGAGGATAAAAAAAATATATATATATAAAAACACCAGTGTGAGAGGCATTGATTGGTTACCCTCTTACATGACCCTGACTGGGGTTGGGACTCAAACCTGCAACCCAGGTATGCGCCCTTGATCAGAAATTGAACCTGAGATTGGCCAGGACTGTTTTTTTCTTATTTAAACAGTCCAAGATCGCCCTGGCCAGGTGGCTCACTTGGTTAGAGCATTATCCCATAAACCAAAAGGTTGCAGGTTCCATCCCCAGTTGAGGCAACCAGTGGATGTTTCTCTCTCACATCAGTGTTTCTTTCTCTTTCTCTCTCCCTTCCTCTCACTCTAAAAAAAAAATCAATGATAACATATCCTTGGGTACGGATTTTAAAAAAAACAAACAGCCCTGACCGGTTTCTCAGTGGTTAGAGCATTGGCCTGCAATCTAGAGTCCTGGGTTTGGTTCCCTCTAAGGGCACTTACCTCAGTTGCAGTTTGTCCCCGGCCCCGATTGGGGTCGTGTGGGTGGCAGCCAGTCGATGTGTCTTTCTCGCATTGATGTTTCTCTCTCTCTCCCCCCCCCTCTCCCTCTCGCTTTATCTAAAAGATGAATGCAAAAATGTCCTTGGGTGAGGATAAAATAAAATAAAATAAAACAACAAAAACCAAAAAACAGTCCAAGATTAAACTAGCTCTTCTAGTCTACTTGAAGTACTACTTTTCGTGATCTTTGCTCAGTAGACTCCTGGTCATTCAGATCTCAACTTAAATGTCAAGACCTCTGAGAGGCCCATTTCTGACTACCTAATTTAAAGTAGACACCCAGGCCCTGGTTCTCTGCATAGGACATGTGACTACTTGATATTTATTTATATATATTTGTTTGTTTAAGGTCCTAGAATGTAAGATCCATGAGAATAGTGATCTATCTTCACCGTCATATTTCAATACCTGGAACAGTATAGGTGCATAGTAGGCACTCAATAAATATTCTTTGTA